TCAGTAAACATTATTGTTTGTTTCAATTTTATCATTTTAACATTGAATAACTTTCACAGAATTTGATTGTTAACAGAATCTTTTGTATTTCCATTGTTGAATTTCACCTTCTAAACTTCATGATAGTTGATCTATTGAAATAAAATGAAGATACTATGCTGATGATAATGATCAGTGATTTTTTTTGCTTTTCTTTCCACTTCCTACTCAATCTCTCAAATAGAGTTATATCAAGATTCAAGTCATTCCTTGTCATTGAGTGATAACTGTAAACACTTATATGAATCTGTGACTGAAATTTCAGAATTCATCAGATAACTGATACCATTTTACTACTTGAAATAACTGATTTATTTTTATAAGATTGTCTCTGTCAATCTTCACAGTCCATTTTGAATGACATATATTTTTACTCTCTTTCTCTCTCTCTCTCTTCTGATTTTCTGCCTGAAGAATGAATTCTCCATAGTCATCATCATAATCATCATGATGAAATCGACATGATGTTGATGTTATCCGACAGAAGGAAAAGCCTGAAGAAAAAGAAAAAAAAAGTTCCATTGAAATAGTTTTCAAGTTGGAAACGATTTCGCTTCATTACCTTTTGTATCTATTTTCTCTTATATAAAATAATCATTTCCCATGAAATGGATTCTGAATGTTTCATGATAAACCATTTTCCTGATTGTGTCAATTTACATTTAACTTTAATTGTCTAGAGGATCGTTTTTACTTTTAAATTGCTTGTTTTGATTTTAGTTTGTGTTCATAGTTACTCTGTTTCTGTCTAAATGTCAACTTGTTTGTTATCCACATCAAGTTCTGATAAAAATTTGAGTTTTTATCATGAAAATCATCTTGTTATCTTAACCATTGATCAGAACTTTTCTTGACCTTTCACTAAGATTTTATTCATCATGTTTCCAATCAGTAAACCTTTTCATCTTTGACCTTTATAACGATAATCTCATTCATTAATCTCGTTGAATTGCATTCACATTTTCATTAATCAATCATCTCAATCCACTAATTTGTCATTTTACTTTTAACAACGAAAACACAATTTAATCAATTATTATATTGAAAATCATTCATCTTCAAATGTTGATTACTATTCATATTTTCAATTTAGATTTCATTGTTATTAATTTTCATCATTTATTATAATACAATTTTTTAAATTGTTCACAATCATCTTGGCTTGATTATCTGATAATTTTCATTGTCAAAAAATTCATACTAAAAGTTGACAATTTAAGTTTCTCTCTGTTGATTAATGAACATGATAAAGATGCTATAGTTTCAGTTTATCAATCCTTTTTTTAATCATATCAGATTAATTATCTTTTCCCACTAGAATGAGTATTCATCATGAATAGTGAATAACACCATGAAAAATGACTTTAATGAATATAATCTTATCCAAATGATGGTGAAAATGATATTAGTATAAAATTACCTTTAAATTAAGGTAGACAATATAATCTAGTTTTATAATAATATGGTAGCAATCATAATCTAGATTATTATGTTTATTAACAACAGAAATCGAGTCAACCATTCAGTAATATCATCACGAACTCTTTTTCTGACAATTCTTAATTTCACCAAAGTCTGAGAATCCAATCATGAAATAATCAGCAAGAATCATCATCATCCTATTCTCATCATGAGCTCCTTTCTCTTGATTCCTTTTTTTGTCTTCTCATTTTTCAAGCTTCGATTGTGAGAATCTGAAACAATCTAGATTTCCAACAACGAATCTTTGTTTTCATTCATTTTCTCTGATAATTCCTGTATCATCTTGAGCTTGGATAACCTTCATCATCATCATCATGGGAGAAATAGTAACAACAAATAATATCATGATAATCCTCAGAAACGATTTTCTATATTTTGTCAGGGAAAATTCACCTTCTTCCAACGGAATGAACTTTGGGTAGAAAAAAAACATCATCACTGTTCATAAATACACATAATCTACACTCACGGAATCAGAATTTTCAGTCTAGATTGAAAAAAGTTTATTCTATGTAGTTTTTTTTCGAAGAGAAAAAAAATCACAAGAGTAAAAGAATACGATATCTTTTCTCTCTCTCTCCTTTTTTTCGGAAACTGTTCCATTTTGTCTCTCACTTATCTCTCTCATCACCATGAAGATGCTCATCATCATGCTATTCTTGGCATTCCACTGCCAATTACAGTTGATTATTGCATTTAAATAGTTTCCATAGTAAAACTTTAAGTGGATAAAAGTGTCTCCAACATCATTAAATTCATCATATTATCACTTAGTTGACGATGAGTAAAAAAAAATGATCATAATGATAATGATTAAAATAGTTTGTTCATTGTCATGTTAACAGAAAAGAGTCGAGAAAAAAGTTCCAACTTGAATATATCTACCATGTATATACCATGAATAATGAACATGAACTTTTTTGCTCCTTTTTTCATTTGGAAAAAAAATTGCATTCGATTATGTATCTATCCTTGTGTAAATATTATACTTCCTTACATTTTGCTTTATTTAATAGTTAATCAATCGCTTCACCATGATGACGATAACTTGATTATATTGATTAGTTTTATAAATATCTTTTCGTTGGAGTAACTTTTTCACCAAATTGATTTCGTTTGAAAATAATCACCAATCAGATAATCAACAGTTTCCATATTAATAATTCAACTTGTTTGCTCACTGATTTTTTTTCCTTCCTTCATCAACTCATTCATTTGATGAAAATTTAATTTCGATTTGAGTAAATTGATTAATTATTCAAATTGTTCAACTGAAAGTGTTGAACAATTTTCATTCAATTTCAACAGTAAAACTCAATCAATTTGACTTGATAACTTTCACCTTCGTCCAATTATTAAGTAAATAATATACTACAAATCATTCTGATTGTTGTGATAATGATCATGAGTATTTAAAAAAAACTTCTCAATGATTATGATCTTGAATGAATGTGAAAGAAAGTCTAAAGTTATGAATAGTTTGGAAACTTTCATGGAACAAGACAAAAGGCTATTTCTGTTGATAGTGTTTAATATACCATGAAATGATATTATTTGATTAGAATTGAATCTCCTATGTAAACAAAATTTGTCTCTCTATCCAATCTTGATGGAATCTCCTTCTCGAACCAATGAACTGTTCATGAAAATAGTTCTTAACGAACTCAAATGTTTATGTACTCGATTTGCCTTTCAAATTTTATTTCCCATTTACCTTTACCTTTTGATTACCTTGATTTGTTATCATCAAACTTTATCATCACAATCTCATCAATGATAGATACTTTTTTTCTAGTTGATTCGGTTGAGAAAATATTTCATCCAATCTAATCAGTTAATCAGCTCACAATTTATCATAGTAATATATTTTTCTTGTCTTTACATATATTGATAATTATTCATATAATAATTAATTCAATTGAATGTTAATCTTCATTAATGTTTAATGATGTTGTCTGATTGTTATTTATTAGTTTGGATTTGATTAAATCCAATCAACTACTATTTTATTACTTATTGTTGATTATATTAGTTGGAGTAATTTAATCAAAATTTTATTACAATCAGATTTATATATATTTGATTACAATTGAGCTAAATTGTTTTATCCGTTTGTTATTTTTATGTTTTCTGCAAACCTTTGCAATGTTACAATCAGTTGATTGTGATCATTAAATCATGATTATCTTGCAATATATTTTTTTTCTCGATTGATTGATAATTAACTTGATTACAATCAATTGTTTGGTTGATTGAATTTAACCAGAAATTGATTTTATTGAATAAGTATGTTGATTGTAAGGAGGAAAACATTTTATCATGAAAATTTAACATTTCTCTTGTAATTATATCAGAATGCTACAGATTATTAGATTTAATTGTAACTCATTATTTGTTAATTATCCTTGATAAGCTCAAATATATAATAATAATGATAATAATAATTTTGTGATGATGATTTTAAGTAGGATAAAGTTATTAGCATCCTTTTAAGAACCGTTATTATCAACCTAATCTTAATCCCATGAAATCTGAATGACTCTTGATGATCAGATTTCATTAAATGTGCAGAGTTGCTTGAATGACATGTTTGAATTTCAGTTTTCTTGAATCACCTTTCATGAAGATGATAATATTTTGTTATTCAATATTGAGAAGAAAATTATTCTCTGTATCATCAACATCATATGTTGAGTGTATAAGATGAAATGAAATGTGAGATGTTATCATCTTTCTCTCTCACTCTCATCTTCAACTGATGGTGTTTCCTTTTCCTCAACATTATTATTCAATGTGATGCATGGATTCTTGTGGCAATTTTTTTTGCATTTCATTCATTATCAATCATCTATTGATGATCATCTTGATTCACTTTCTTTCCTTTTATATCAGGACGATCAAAATTTCTACCCTAAATTTCCTGATCTATCAGAATGATAACATGAATGATTTCAATCTCTATTCTTAATAACATGATAGTTTTTATCAGATAGTCTACATTTAGGATCAAAAGATTTCGTCCAAATCACATAGAGATCAACCATTAATCTCATAGATATTCAGTCCTGTAATTTTATTCATCATCTTTCCTACTGAATTGTTCATTTGTTTATCTTTTTTTTTGTGCTTCTTCCTGTTTTCTGTGTGATTATTTCCGTTCAATGGTAACAATCAGAATCAATCAAGAATCTTGTGTATCTTTGATGTTGTTCAAGCAGCAAGAAAAACATTAATCAATATAATCTGTTTCAAGTTCAATAGTAATTCATGTATCCCATTTATGATTGAGATTCTCAAGCTAAGACAATTATTTATCTCTTGATGATTGATTACTTAATCGGATTAAGCTAATTAGGCAAACTTATAAACAGAATTGTTAAGATAAAGGGTTGATACTTTATGGTCATTTTGAATTGTTTCCAATAAAAATGTTTCATATTCATTGCTAATCGTTTCCTTTTTATCTCCCTAATTAACAGAATCTTTTATGTTTCTCATGATTCGTTGGATATGAAAATATTTTCTTACATTGCCAGAGAATCCAATGTATTTAAATGTTGCGTCTTTAAGACACCGAAGAAGGTAAATTTCTAATCACTGTTTTGAATAATGTTAATTGTCAAGTTTTTTTTTTCGTTTCAACTAACAACATTTAGTCTCAAGCAATGAGGATCGTCCGAACGATTGGTCAAGCATTTGAAGTTTGCCATAAATTAAGTGTAACATATAACACGAGCAGCTCAATCCACGACGAATCAAGTCCAAATCGTACTCAACGAACCACTTCCAATGGTACAAATAATAATAACGTAACCGTTACCACAATTGGTAATAAACGTGTAAACGACAATGAAAGTTTAGGAAGTCCAACTAACACGGAATCATCATTAACACCAATCAGTCCAGGTCATTTAAGTAATCGTCCAACAACACCTCCAACACCAACTTTAGGAAGTAATCAACAATCAACCATTGATGATATTTGCCACCTTGATGATCATCGGACACAAGTTAACAATATTATTAACTCGAGTACCATAAATAGTATAAATAGTTTAAGTGTCAACACAAATACAACAAGTAATAATATCAATATCAATGATAATAATAATAATAGTAATCATAATATTGTCACCAATCAAGGTAACATAAATAACAGTAATCATCATCTTTACCGAGAATCATTTGTTCATTTATCAGATAATCAATATGAAAGTTTGGTTTCATCGTTAAAATCAATGGAAGATAAAATGTTCAACCTTGCTGATCGTATTTCATCAATTGAATTAAGCCAAGAAAAGATGATTACAATGATTGAAAGATTATGTAATTTACAGGATGATAAACAATTCAACAATAAGGAGAAACTCAATAATAACAATAATAATAATAACAATATCAATAACTTGGTCAATAGTAGCAATTTAATATCACCTTCAACCTTAATGCAACCTTCAAGTCAACCAACAAGTTTACCAATTGCTGTCAATGGGAAATTAAATTTTCTTTCACTCACCAATACAGCAAATAACAACAAATTATCACCTTTAACCAATACAATCACAAGTCCATCATCAATATTAACAATTAATCCAATATCAACAACCATAACCAATCCTAATTCAATGATGAAATCACCAAGTGGTAATACAATTCAACCACCGACAATACCACCGCCCCCACCACCGCCACAAGCACCAACACTGCCTACGACAATTCAAAGTCCTGCTCTAGATGATAGTTTATTTTTCAAATCTGATTCCCTGTTTTTTGATTCTGAACCAATTCGTGATTCCCTTTTCTCCTTGGATGATGATATCTTTTCCACCCAATCAAGATTATGACAATTAAAGGAAACAATTGACAACAAATTGATCGATATTGGTTAAATTGACAAAAATATGAGTTAATTGTAACAAAGTAACTATTGCAATACAATTAAGGTGCTACAAAAATCACACACTCACACAGACATTCAGAGAGTTCCCAATACACTAAAGGAAGAGAAGACAAATAAAGCCAATAATGAACATTGGACAATTACTGAACCTGGATGGACAATATTAATATAATGTAAACAATAATCAGCTTAATTTAGGTGACACCGGTGTTGAAATGAACTTTTCCAAGAAAGAAAGAATCGCAAAAAGAAAGGCCAATCAATTGATTTTGTCTTCTATTATCCTTCCAACTTGACCCAATTTGATTTAATTTACTGCTTATTGACCAATGGTTTATTTATCTATCAATGGATCCATGGTAACAACTACAACAATCAATTTAATGAACAAACAAGAAAAAAACAAAAGTTTTCACCCATCATCATGATTACTTTGTGCCTTTGGTGATTATTACATTATTATTACTGTTATTTACTCTGTTAATTATAAGGATTGAAACAATTAATTGACTTTCAAAATGTCAATGGGTTTGAAACAACAATTAAAAGTTTCATTGGAAAGGAAATGGAAAATCACTTAAATCAAATTTATTGGAAGATGAAGGAAAATCTTTCTTTTTAATTGTTGGATGGAAATTTAATTTACCGGTTGACTGTTATTGATGGAGATGAAATAACAAAAGCAAATGTTATTAGGATTTACAATGGATTAAGAGAAAAGGATTATCACCTTGACCGGATTTCTTGTGATTTATTTTTATCTCCAACTGATGATGAGTCGAGTTTTTTTCCTGGCAAAGATTAACTGTCTAAAAACATTCCAACCCATTGAATCTCATGCTTATATTGGAATCAAATCTATGAACAATTATAATTATCATGATGATAATTTAGTTCGTTCATTTATTATGCTTTGATCATCAACAATTTTGTTTTCCGCTCAATTGTCATCATAATTATCTTGATCTCTATCTTGATCAACAATGGATTCTCATTTATTGTAAGACCTTTGCCAATGGATATCACCTTATATCCAGGATACTTTACAATTTAATTGGACTTACAATATGAATACAATTAAGTTTAATTGTAATTAGGATGGTGGTTAATTTGATCTTAGTAGTAACTTAATCAATTGACAAAGTTCAATCTCTAAGGACTGGACTGAATTTAGATCATTTGATTTACCTGATTGCAAATCGTTTTAGATCAACTAATCTCGATGATGATTAATATATTTTATCCTGATTATCATGTTACTATTGACTTACAATTGGTTAATTATGTTATCCATTGGATTATTAATTATATATAATAATCACAATTAGTTGATACATAAATTGGGAATCTCAATAATATTATTTAATTTTTTTCGATTTTATTTTCACTTCAATTTAACTGTTTTCATATTTTTTTTTCTCATTAAGTTAATTGTCAAAATCTAACTCAACAGTTAATTGTTACGATGAAACAATTTAATACTTACAAGATTAAACGATTCACTTGAACAACACAAACTATGTAAAAATAATTAAGCTAATCAAGAGTAAATTAGCTTAATTAATTTGCACCATCAACTAAATAACTATTTATTACAATTGAAATGTAACCATCAATGTAATCAATTCAGCAACAACAAGCAATTAATTAATTGCTCAACTGACAAACAAACAAATTTGTATTAATTGATACAAGAAAAACAAACATCAAGTCAAAATATTTAATTTATTTAAATGTCTCACAAACAATATAGTCTAAATGAATACGACAATTAATAAAATATGATAATTTATTTTTATTTATTACAACAAAAAAAAATCAAATCTCACAATTAATTCATCCAACTAATTACAATTAAATCAACTCGATCAACTGAATTGGAAAACCATGTTAATCACTTGCCAATTTTACCAATCAAACCAAAAATTATCTAAATTAAATCTCTCATTGTTTGCTTATTGTCTCATGAATAGGTAATAAATTGTTGATCTATCAACTAATCAGTTAATTAGTTGCAATTGTCAAGAGTTTTAATCGATGACAATTAAAATCGGGGCGTTCTAAACAGCGCCATCTGCTGGCCGAAAAAGAGACTAATTGATTTTTTCTTTTCTTTTTTTATTTTCGGTCTCAATGTTTATATTTTTGTCTCTTCCTTTTAGTGTTAACTATTAACTCCCATCTAACTGTTGTACATTATTATTTATATTATAATTAGTGTGTTTGGTGATCGTAATTAAATTTAATTAACCACAATGGCTGGTAAAACTGTTTCTAATAAGGATTTACCAGTTCTCAAAGTAATCATGGTTGGTACTGGAGGTGTTGGTAAATCAGCTTTGACCTTACAGTTTCTTTATGATGAGGTAAACATTTAACTAAATATAGATGATTAAGATTAACAATTAATCTCTAATTTCTTATAAACTAAGAATGACTCATAATAATCCCTCCCTTTCCTTGATGTATTAATTAACCAGCGAATCTCTGTTTTCTTTTCTCTTTCTTGACTCTTCAAAATCTAACAATTTCTCTTTCGATCTTTTCATCATCTGTTTCTATCTCTTTTTCTATCTGTCTTTTTTTCTCTTTTTTTTCTCTCTCATTTCTCTATGAATTAACTGTGTTTTAATGTCATTAACTTGATTGTCAACCCTGTTCCTATTATCATTATTATCTTGTGTTTATTGAGTTTTTTTCTCATTTTTTTTTCTCTTTTTTTTCTCTCGTGCCTTCATCTTCATGCCCTGGCCTTGTTTGGTTTTATTTTCGCATCACTCTCTCTCTCTCTCTCTCTCTCTCGTCATCTCCCCCTCTTGTTCTCTCTATCCCTCTCCTTTTCTCTCTCTTCTACTCATTCGGTGTGTCTCTGGTTAATCTCATGATGATACTGGTATTCTGTTAATCATCATTAACAGTTCATTGAGGACTATGAACCAACCAAAGCTGATGTTTACCGTAAACCGGCAAATGTTGATGGAGAAGTTGTCATGGTGGACATTTTGGACACTGCAGGTCAAGAAGATTATGCTGCTATAAGAGACAATTATTTCCGATCAGGAGAAGGTTTTCTTTGTGTATTTTCCATTTTAGAAGAAGAATCTTTCCAAGCAACTCATGAATTTCGTGAACAAATTTTAAGAGTTAAAGGTGATGATGTTAATATCCCTTTTCTACTTGTTGGTAATAAAGCTGATCTCGAGGATAAACGAATCGTACCAAAGGCTGATGCTCAACGATTAGCTGATTCATGGAATGTGCCATATATTGAAACAAGTGCTAAAACTCGGACTAATGTGGACACCATTTTCTATACCTTAATGAAAGATATTTATAAGAAAAAAATGGCCGAAGCAGCTACAAGTAATGGACCTAAAGCCAAGAAATCAAAGAAAAAGAGGAAATCAAAATGTTTACTTTTTTAAAGAAAACTAGAAAAAGAGACCAGGAAGAATACGAAAAGGAAGACAAAGAGATGAAGACAAGAGGAAAAGACGAAAGAAGAAGCAACAAAAAAAACCCTTAAAAAACCGTAAAAAAGCAAAACAGCAAAACAAAACAAACAAAATTACCAAAATTAAGTAACCAGAAAGATTAAGTGAATAAATTTTACTGCTGACTGATTAAAGACAACAACCAATCAACACAAACACACAACATAAACAATTTTTTTCTGTTTTGCTGAAAAGCTGGTCATCATCATCATCTACATCATCACCGCCATCACCATCACCATCATCATCGTCGTCATCATCAGAAAAAAAAGAAAACATCAAAATCATCAACAATGAAACAATTACAAAGCTATTAAAGATCCAGACCCAAGATAATGAGAAAGGAAAATACAAAACTTTTGGAATCAATTGCGATACCGTTTAGAAGATGACAAAGTCAAGTTTCTTCAATGAAAGATTGCAACTCAAGCCAAAAAGGACCAAATCATCGTTTACTTTTTGTTCCCGGATGATTGATTAAAATGGAAGCTGATTACCACACCTTTTGTTATAATAGAATCGGTAGAGAGAGAGAGAGAGAGAGAGAGAGAGAGAGAGGAGAGGAAGAAAAGACAACTTATCTTCTTTCTCTCTCTCTTTAAAAAAAATGATCTCCAATGAATGAATCAAATAATCATCACATACAATATACAACGAAAACATAATTCATTGGAGTGAGAAGTTGTAAAGAAAGTTTTAGTTTTTTCTTTTAATTATATTAAGGGAAGATTCAAACCACGTTGAATCTTTGTTTATCTTTGATTGTTTCCATTTCATCTTCTTTTTCTCTCTTTTTTGTCTTTTCTTTTGTTTTTGTTATAAGTCTCGACAAATCGAACAACAAAAAGAGAAATTTGAGACAAATGAGCTGCGAAAAACTTTTATATAAACTGCTGATGATGTTTCGAATCGGTAATCCATTTTGTGTTTTTTTTTCTTCTTTTCTGGAAGGTCGATATTGTTGGTATATTATTCGGTTTATAATAGTAACCCGATTTAAGTTGACGTTTTTTGTTTCGATTTGCTTTTCGGTAAATTTTATTCTAATTTTTATAACTTTTTTTGGTCTCTCTCACTCTTTAATCATCTCCAATGTCCTGAGTGTGTTTGTGTGGGTGTCTTTTTGTATCTGTGTGTGTCTGGTGTACTTATGGTGGTTTACTTATCTTTCCAATATTTTTCCAATAATTGTTTAATGTATGAAACCGCTTCTAATACTTTAGTCGAAGCAGAAACCCTCTTGTCACCACCGGCCGCTGATGATGAGCCAACATTTGGAATACAATTGTCAGGTTTATAAGGAGGTTGGATGACAACATTTTTCATAACAATAATATTTTTACCATCCCAGGTAACAGCATCAATTGTCTTTGATAAATGTAGAAATACTTCAATACCCTCATCGGTAACACCAGAATCGAAAGCTTTTGCTAAACGTTTTCGCTCCTCAATGGCTTGTTTTTTCCTTTGATCAACCTACAGTAAGAGAGAAACAAGAGAAACAAAAAGTATATTAGAGAAAGAGAATATTTTATATATAGAAAGAAATGGAGATTAAAAATTTTCTTCTCTCTTTCCAACTCACACATTCATTTAAATGCGAACCAAATAGAAGAAGGAGAATATTTTTCTATTCTATTCCAAAAGAAGCTTATTTTTTTTTTGTTCGAAAATTGAATGAGTTAAATGTTACATGATTTACTTACTTTACTTAAATTGAGGTGAGGTAAAGATGATGAACTAATCTCCTCTTTTTTGACTTCCTTTTTTATTTTTACGTCTGTCACATTGCTTAAATTAATTAGATGGACATCATTTAGACTAGGTTGACCTGAGCTTGATGGACACTTGATAAGCAATATTTTCTTATGATAATCAAAGGCTAAAACCTCTCCTTCGTAAACATTATCATGGCAAGTGATTAAAGATATGATAGAACCAGCGGTGAACATAAATTCAGCATCTTCCGACATAATTAGATTTGAATTGTTGTTGCTGTTGGTTAAGTTCCTCATGTGAGAAGGGGATGTTTCCTTGTCTAAATAATAACAGTACAGTAAAACTATAACCTAATCTACTGTACACTCGCACACAGACACAAAAAGTGATTAATTAAATTTACAATCAACAAAAAAAAAGAAAAATAAATCACAACAAAAATTTCATTAATTTAAATTCACAAATAAATAAATACAAAAAAAGATGAAAAAAAAAGATGGTTAGAATAAATCAGTCGACTATTCGAATGAGCTGAAAGTTTATTCGACTAAACTTTCAGCCGAATTGATTGGTTCTCTTTCTTTTCTCTTTCTTTTCTTAAATTCTCGTTGTCATGACAACCACTTGAGCTTAGAAAAGTGTGTAGCTAACTGAGCCGAAGCCGCGATTTATTTTTCAAAATTCTAATCCTTTTGTTAAATTTGATTTAATTGTTTAGAAAATTGAAATTAATGAGTTTTTCTATTCATTTAATTGTTTTAATTTCTACTCTAGTGGTTAATTGTTACTCTTATCAAAATGATTCTTCAACCAACAGAACTCAAAGTGATGAAAATCTAAATGAAACTTGGATTGAGAAATTTGTTCAATTACTAAATTTTGTATCAACAAATATTCAATTTCTAGTTGGTTCAATTTGGCAACATTTATCCGATATAATTACTTTAATTAGTAAATTTGGTTTTAAAATTATTCTTAATCTACTAAGGACAATTGGTATTCCATCTGCTTATTCAATGGCTAACACAATTGATCTTATCGGCCATCTTTTCAATTTTATTCTATCAACTTTTTAATTGAGAACAATTTTAAATGTAATCATTTCTTTGTTCACAACTAAAACCTTAAAATTATGGATATCAAAGGATTATGTGAATGGATTTACCTTTTTTCAGGATAATTCATTTCAATTGGTTGGTCGTTAATTTATAAATCTGTTAATCAATTGAAACGAGATGTTATCAATTTAGAAAAAGCCTCAACATGATAACCAAAGTGATACCAGAATTTACAGTCTGTACCATAGAGTTGGTCCCTCAGCTCAACACATGTTTACCTTTTTTTTTGTAACCGTTTAAATCAATTGTGTTAATGGTTAATTGTTAGACAAATTGTTGACCCACAATGTATTCAACTCGTGCACCAAAGCCCAGTTGGAGTAAATTGAAGATCTTTACTGTTGGTTTAACCACAGGTTGTGTTGCTTCATACAACCCGATCAAAAACACTATGGGAATCAATTATTCAGTCAAAAAGGTTTCTCTTATTAGGTAACATTTGATTGCGATTTAATTTTTGTTTGAATGGATTTTAAATCATTTTTTTTGTCTCTTTTTTTTTTAATTTTAATCTTTCCCCTTTTCTAGTGATAATAATAAAATGGTCCAAATACCTTTAAGCTTACTAGAATTTGCTGATGATGTTCGTCTGGAAGTAAAGATCAAAGAACAAGCCAAGAGTGAATTGAAATTTTTCTTGACCAAAGAATTGGATGTTGTGTCAGTTGGTAATTTAAATTTAACCAATGGAGCTAAAATTGGAATTCCTTACACTTATATTTACGATAAGGTTGAAGATGTTGATCCAAAAGTAGTTGAATCATTGATCGGTGTTGATAAATTGACTCAAGGTGATTGGCATTCAACGAAGAATGGACAAAATCTCATCAATTCACTAGTTCTTAGTAAAGAAGCTAAAAAGTTTGCAATAGCTCGAGGGATTATGATTGCAGACTCAGAGATGGTCATGTACAAAGATGTTTTGCACTTTGCCGGTATATTTGGTGCTTTCGCTACATATAATTACTTAGAACCTCGGGCAATCGGAGTGATCGGTAAAGTGCCTACGATAATTGGACTTGGAACATTGTTGGTGGTCGGTTTTATTAGCGTTGCAGTGATTCTCAGTGATTATATCGATCAAATTTGTGCTCAGTCATGTGATTCCAGGGCGATTGAAAATCCCAAAGAGACCTACGCAAATGGCGCAATAGAATATTATGAGAAATTGATTGAAAGAAATAAATCACTTCGAGGATTGTTAATCAATGGACCGGAGAAATTTGATTCTGATGGTAATCCAATTCCATGGTATCAAATTAATTTCAGCTCTTTACAGGAAAGTTTGGATAAATGTAAAAAACTAATTGATCGTTGGGTAGCTGATTCAGCAACTATTTAATTACAGTTAATTGTGGTAATAGTTAGCAAATTATAAATATGAAGAATGAACTTTCACTGTTTTCATAATTAATGAACTTAATCATTGAACACAAAGAGATGAAGCATAAAATGATTATATTTTCCTCTGGTCAGATACTAAAACAACAATCACTTAAATCATTGGCCTGGTTGATTGTTATTATGGAAGATTAAATTTTGGATAATAAGTAAATAGTTAATTTCAAATTCAATGGACAATTTGTGGAAATCAATCGATTGGACTTTCTGTTTCTCGTGGTCGCTCGGGAAATGACATAAATCAGTTCCATAAATTGGTTAATCAATGACAATTGGAAAATTCCATTAATCAAGTTATTTTAATGTTAATTGTTATGTACTTGGTTTGGAAAACGAAACTCATCAGTCTCTCAATTAACGCGAGCAAAAAAACATCGAAAGGCTTTTTATTAATTACGAATCAATTTTCTCGAGAATCAATTAATTGTTTACCTACAATTAACTCATCCATTTAATCTGCGCAATAATTTTCGATGAATCAACAATTACGTTTACTAATCACTAGAACTAATTATCAACCAAGCGAATTTACAAAAAAAAATTGATCAGTTCAATGTGAAAATCCTTGAAAAATATAATCAATTTTCATAGAAAACATTAAATTTTTCAGATGATTTATTAATTACTAAATTATATCCTGAGTTGGTTAATTTATCTTCTTTGATTGTTGTAATATTGATTCTCTTTTTGATTCTGAGAAAATCGAAAAAAAGTTGACGACTAATCAACAATGATTTTTTTCGTTGATAATGATGATGATTGTTGATAACCTTGGAACTCAATAATTGATGTGATTAATTACATGATCAATTAATGAATCAGACAAAGATCTCATTTTTTTATTGCTTTCAAAGAGCAATTAAGTTCAATAATCAATAAAATCAATAGAAGTATACAAAAAATATCCTATTCGGCTTAATTAATAACTGTAATAATTAAGATGATCATGCAACAGGAATAAAGAGATTTACATTGTCTCTTTTTATCACGTAGTTAATCACATTCAGATTACGAGTAATTAAAGATTATTGGAAAGAATTGCGAAAAAATAACACCTCGAGTGTTAGTGGAAAGGATTCATGATTAATCAATTAACACTATTTTCCAACAAAAGAGTGTTAATTACGAGTGATTAATATTTTCAGGAAACTGTTTGTAATTGAGATAAATTTTGATTCACAAACAACTTAATTGTCCCTTAATCACGTGATGTTGATGATGATGGTTGTCAAAATGTTCAAGGAAGGATCAATAAAAATCCATTACAATGTTATAATTTAATTAAGACAATCAAGGCCACAATGTGATCATAATTTAGTTGCATCGGTAAATTCATCTAATTAATTCATCGACTGGATTGATTATGTTTTAAACACGAGAAAACCAAGAGATTTTGATCAAAGATTTGATGAGTAATTACTTTGCTTGATTATCCAAATTGTTTCATTTAATTTGAAACTTGAGCGGATTAAAGTTAACTGTAAATCCGGTTTGGATGTTTCAATGAATGAACTCAACGAATACCTTGAACTTTTAACTAAATCAATTGGATCACGTCTTATATTAACTACGCATCTTTTAAATTGTTTCACAATTTGGCAACAAGCTCCTTTGTTTTTTAACATTCAATTTGAAATAATCAGCAATTTATCAGTAGTTATGTACCAATCAATCAAACCTGAAAACAAATTATAGAAAAATTATCTATTCAAGAAAAAAAAAACAATCACCATTGATTGGTTTTTTTTAGTGCCGGTAATCATTAGTATCATTATAATTGTTAACAAGAGAGTGAGAGCAAATTTGTAACAATTAACAGCCAACCAACAATACAGCTCATGATTGAGTTTGATTGATTTCATAAATTCAACATTTTCCAAATCAAATTGCTCAATCGATGCATGTAGTTTGTACTAATTACCAATCAGCAATTTCCGGTTCTGAAAAATGAGGGAAAAAAAGTTGAGAATTAAAATCACAGAAAATGAAACATGTAATCGTAATTGCCCTTGAAGTGACAATATAATTTAGAAGAAAAGAAGAAGAAGAAAAGAGTTTAAATAAAAGAAAATCATAATACACCAAATGAAGCGAAAAAAGAACAAAAAAACAAGACAAAGAAGAGAAAATTTGAAAAAAAGAATATAGAAAAAAAGCTAAATAACTTTACCTTAGAATTGGCATTACACAGACAGAGAGACAATTAAATTGAATCTGATCAGTCTGCAGGTAATTAAATGATATTCTGATAGTGATGAGAAATGAGAAAAAAAGAAAATCAAATTATTAATTGAATTGTTTCCCTGAATGACTGATGAGAGAATCACAATCAAATTATCACATCTTTTTCCTCTGATGATGAAAGTTTAACATTTTCCAAATCATCATCGCCATCGTGAACAGCAATAAGTCAATAAATTAACCTTGAACGAGAAGAGAAAACAAATTAAACAACAATGAAATTAAAGTTAAACACGCAAACGAAACAAAAAAAATAACAACAATAACAATTAAATTAAAGTTAATCACGCAAACGAGAAACAATCAAACAATAACAAAAGAACAAAAAATTTCTCATTTTCCAGAAAAAGAATTTTAAACTTGGCGGTAACAGGGGGCGTTCGAATCGAAAACAAAATTTTCTTCACTTTGATTGGTCGAAATGAGTTTGTTTACATCTAAATGGGGGTGGAATTTGTGGTTCTTCGTTAGCCTGAAGGCGCGAGAGTTAAAGAGATAACGTTTAAATTGTTCTCTCTCTCTCTCTCTCATTCTCATTCTCTATTGTTTCATCATATTCACTTGTCAATAAGTTAGGAAACCAAGTCATCCTTTCAATTATAAAGAAAGAGTCACTTATATAAAAAGAAGTTCAAAGTTAATCCAGTTACAAATTCTATTCTCGTTTTTGTTATTTTTTTCTCTCTCTCTCGTTTCATATTCCGTTATTATTACTCTGTGTTTCATTCTGTTCATTTCATTCTGTGATATTCGTTATTAAGAATCACCCTGATTCATCTAATTCTTGTTACCATTGGAAAGACAAAGAAAAAATAGAAGAGAATATTTCCTGTTATCTTCATCATCTTATTACTCTGATTCTCTTTCTTTCTCTTTCGCCGTTTTATCCTATTAATATTCTCTTTTATTGGATTACAAGAGTAAAGTGTTTTTACCTCTTTCTTTCTTCTATTTTTTTGTTCCTTTGCTATTTTACTGTTAATCTATCTTGTTATTCTCTGTAGAAGCAGAGAGGAAAAAAAAGAGAAGAGAATAATTTTTCATCTTTCTCTCTCTCTCTCTCTTACTTTCATAAATTTCGTCATCTCCATCATCTCTATTGATAAAATTGTTACTACTGCTCCTGCTACTCTTTCGTTAGCTCTCTCTCTCTCTCTCTCTCTCTCTCTCTCTTCATCTGTCTTGATTCGTTTCTTTGAATTCTGTGAATTCTATTCTTGTAAACCTCTTGTCTACAGCAACATCAACATTATCTTCTCAATTGACCTACAAAATTGTACTAAAGGACATACACCATATTCATTTTTTGAATTTTCTATTTCAACCTAATCATGAGTACCTCGGTTTGTCAACAACCAGCTCCAAGTGGACCAGAAGTTAGTAAGTTAAATATATTAAATTACCTTTAATTCACTAACCCGAAACAATTTAACTTTCCATTAAAACCAAACAATTTAATTCTACAATAGAAAATTTTTTCTCTTTTCTATTAATACAATTACCAATACGTAACATCGATTTTAAAACTTAACCCTTTCTTTCATATCTAAATACATAAATAAAGGGTTAAACAAACCGGACCAAACTTTGATTGTATAACATTGGCTTCCAGTGCAAAAATATCTAAATCGTACAAAATTAATGGTTAAATTAGTCAATTAGGTTAATTAGTCAAGCAAATTTGATTGGAATCGCATCATTAATTAAAAGTTGTGGCCTTAAAATTATTCCGTTTAAAAATTATTCAAGAAATGATTTAATCTGCTTTTTTAAAGTGATCACTCCTTAATCAAAACAACTATTAATAGTCAAGTTTCATAATTATCCGCTTCGCCTAATTAACAATTAATTACTTGAACATTCATTGATTAAATTAATAGTATTACTGTAAGTAAGAAAAAGTACAGAAAAACAAATTCGAATTGTATTTTTTTCCCTCCTTCCTCATGATGTGTTAATTTTTTCTCTCTCTCTCAGCATTTGATTGATTAGTTGTAAATGAGATAATGAAATGATTATGATTTTGATAATCATGTTAATTTTATCAAGAGATAGATGTGATAATATTAATGAGAAAAAAATAGCAATTCTCACAATAGCTAATCTTATTTTGATTTCTTTTTCCTGTATATCATCAGTATTATGATGTATTACCTTAAGGAAGAGTTTACTAAATAATAATTAATAATCTAAAGAAAAAATTTTCTACTCATTACTTGTAATCAATTCATCCACTTGAAGCAATCATTTAACAATTAAATCCACGCCATTGTGTATGTCTCAATCAGGGGAACAGAATTATCAATCAACCCACTTTACCCACAATAACAAAGGGAAGAGGTGGTGATAATATTATCACCGTCAACCTCGGTGGTGATAAACGAGAGAGAGAAAGAGGAGAGGTAGAGGGAGACTGAGGAGATAATTCCAATGAACAGGTTATGGTGGAAAAGAAGAAAACAAAATGAAGCATTTCGAAATGTTCGATTTCAATGATCCTCAAGGAAAATATCATGATAGAAATTGCCATAGATAAGCATAAGAGGCTTACCTTTTCTCCCTCTTCTCATCATCTTCATCATCCTCATCATCTTAATCAATTGTGTCACTTTCTCAATATTTTCGTTATTCTTGTTGATCTTTCTAATGGTTTTTTTTATCCTTTTTACTTTTATGTAAACAGTGAAAACAAACAACCTTTTTTTATACTTCTTTTTGCCATTACCTTTGTTTCTTAATGATAATAATTAAGTTAATTAGTCTATTCTCTTTTCATGTATAAATCAATTTTTTGACTTGCGAAATGTACAATCAATAGAATTACAATTAGCTAATTGCTCAATTTGCTTTTATTTTATTTTATTTTTATATTCGTTTACATCATCAACGTGTCTAAATATATTCACTATTTTATTAATACCTTTTACTATTCATTGAAATTGTTTTGGTTAATTGTTACAATCAACATAAGCAACTATATTAATCAAGATGAAACGGTTAACTGTTCCAATTACCATGAAACGTATCCCATTGAGACCAATTTTCTTAGCCCCATTAGCTGAGTTTCGTTACGATCAATGTTAGTTGATTAATTGGTATTACCTTTCTAATTGTGGTTTTAACCTTTTCAATGGAATCATTGTTAATATGTTTCATTTATAACTCACCTTATAACAATAGAGTTAACAATTGATTGTTTTCTTATATTAACCAAACAATTAGATAACTTTGATTGTTTGACTAAAATATTTGTTAAGGTAAACATGAATTTGTATTGTGAAAATATAATGATTCTGATATTGAATTGTTTTTGTTGGATCGTTTTTTTTATATTTCTGTTACTTGATTGTTTATTTATATGTTTAAATTTTGAGAGTTAAATTATTAATATTGATAATTTTTTAATTGTTGAAATCGATTTTAGGTCCAATCAAATGGGCTCAGACTCCAAGTCCAACGACTCTGGTTCCTGGTAAAAGGCAATCACCAATCAATATAAATCGATCAGTTTGCTTGGTCGGTAAAAGTTTAATCTCTCGGCCACTTCGATATGAATTCCCAACAGTCATTGAAAACCTTGAGATGGTCAACTCAGGGCATGGATGGACAGTCAACATCCCACCTCATATTGGTGATAAAACTGGATTAACTGATGGTCCGTTATTAGATAAATATAATTTGGTTCAGTTTCATGCTCATTGGGGATGCGATTCAACCTCAGGCTCTGAACATACGATTGATGGTCATTCTTATGCATCGGAATTGCATTTTGTTCATTACAATTCAACCTTGTTCTCATCTTTCGGTGAAGCGGTGAAAAAAGATCGAGGACTTTCAGTTATCGCTGTTTTTCTGGAGGTTGGGGATAAAAAGAATGAACAAATTGAGAAAATTGTCAAACACCTGAAAGATATCAAGTACAAAGATGAGAAGACAATCATTTCAGAAGGGATTTCATATGTTGGATTTTTCCCGGAGAAAAAATCATATTTCACCTATGAAGGTTCATTGACAACTTCACCTTACCATGAATCGGTTTCATGGATTGTTTTTGAAAATCCCGTCACGGTAACGGCTGATCAGATCACCGCAATGAGACAACTGATGTGCAATACCAAGGAAACGGAAAACAAGGATTCATCAGGCCTTAGCCAAAACTATCGACAACCTCAACCAATAAATGGACGTGATGTTATTTATGTTCGTTGAGTATTTTTCAAATGTCCAGATTCGAATTGAAATTCGAATGTCCAAAAGAAGAAAAATAACCTTAAAAGTCCACTAAACATAACAACGCAATACATAACACAAAGTATTAATACATATACACATAGTCGATCCAAAAATTAAGTTGAACGAAAAAAGATTCTCATTGGAAATCAATGTTAATCTAATTTCGCCAAAAAAAATGCAATTTACTTTTGAAAAGTTCTATTTTTCGCCAATATTTTTAGATAGATTTAATAATTATTATTACAAATTCGAAATTTTTACCTTAAGTATAAATTTCGAGCACTACAAGTCATTCAACTCGATTTTTCGACTATCCTAGACGCTAATGTTAACGAATTAATTATAACTTAATTTCCCTTTTAATCATTTGCAAATTATATTTAACTAATCAATTGTGATAGAATGAAAAGATTCTAAATTTTTCTTAGCAATTAAAATGATGTTGTTAAGATCCTTGGTAATTTAGATTGTTATATTTTGATTGTTATCTAATTATCAGGATTTTTCTCATCAATTTCAAAGTAAATTCAACTTAATTTTTTACAACCCAAAAAACTGGTCAATTGAATAGTCACAATTAAGGACTGAAATTGATTAAACGAATATCGCAAATTGTTGATCACATTATTATCCACTCATAGGTATCTCACTCAAGTTAAAAATTCGTAAAATTAGTTGAGCAATTAACACGAAAATAAAATAATTTAACAATTCGACTTAATTTTTGGTTCGACTGTATATGAATTCTCGAGTTTGGTCCAGGAAGTTGTGGTAAAAGGAGCAGAATCTACATTTCCCCTTCTTCCTCTTAGCAAGTAAAGTAAAGAAAAAAAGTTCAAAGTATAAACTTGAGTTCGTTAATTATCACTGTGATCAAATCATTATGATCAAGTTGAGTTGATACTTATTAGAACAATTAACTAATTGTTAGATTGAAGATGGAGATTAGTCTTATTCAAACCATTTCTGATGACGATTAATTCGTATTTTTTTATTCGTTTCATTTTCATCCTTACCTTTTTTCCTTCTGTAATTGATGAATTCAAAGGTTTAATTAATTGAGAAAATTAATTAATATTCTTGTCTTTTAATCTTAGTTTTCTTTCCTTAATTGGTCACTAGATGGCGACTAAAGTACAGTCGAGGTTCTTATGTTTAAGATAATTCAATTTCCAATGGAAATTCATTTGTTTCGATATGAGTGACCTTACGAAAATCGAAACATGGGTTCGATATCGTCGAAAAGTGTACCAACACGACGGTCAAAAGTTAATCTTAATGATTGATTGTTCAATTGATCGAATTCGAATTTTTTTTTCTTTACTTTCGCCTAAGGCAAAAGAGATTCTCCTCCTCTTGACCACAACATTCTGGACCTCATATGACCTAAGTTGCGATTTACTTGCGATTATCGTTAAATTTAGTTGTTAAATTGAAGATTTTCAGTTAATCATGACAATTTTGTTAAACATTTCAAATTTTAATTGTAATTAAAGTTTACTAAATAAACTAAATAATCAAAGTTAATGGTTAAAAATTAAATCCTTGTTAATATTAAACAAATTTTAAAACCACAAACAATTTTGAATTGTTGTTAATTTAGTTTGTTCAAAGTAACAAAAGTAAACTCATTAAATTATATCATTAAAAAAAAGTTAAACCTTATTAATGTTTACAATTTAATTTAATTAAATTGTGTGTTTATGTAAATCAAAATTAATTTTTTGTTCCAGCTACAAATTAAACTTTATTTAATCATTGAAGGAGAAAAAAGTTTCCGTAACAATTAACAATGTTAATCACATTTAGCTCATTTATTTAACATAATTGGTCTCGTTAATTGTGATCAATTTACTGTTTTGATTATAATAAAGAGAGACAATTAAGTTTACAAGCAAGTTAATTGCAACAAGGAGATACAAGTTAATCAAGACAATCAAGATCATTAGTCGAAAACTTTTTTTCACTTTTTCGAAACAAATTAAAGTAAAATTGATCAAAAAGATTGACAATTAAATTAAATTGGATAAAACAATTAGTAGATCAATATTGTTAATTATTGAATTCTTATTCTAATTATTTCAATCAAATTGAATTTTGATATTTGTTCTCGGTGGAAATTTTTTCCTCCAATTAACATAGTTTATTGTAAGATCATCGTCTAATTGGCTAATGATTAAAATTAATTGTTGACTTGTGAGAGGATGAATCGTATTTATGATTAATCTTATGTGTGTGTGTGTTCAGGGTGAAACCATGATAATATTTGAGAGATAATTAACTGAGAACTTTTTGTTCACTTGAATATTAATAAGTCACTTCAAACCTTTCATCCCAATTGTTGATGATAAATTATCTTTGGATACGCAATCTCCTTGGAGTGAGATTTTTAGACAGACTGAAAAGATAGAGAAGATGATGAGGATGCTAAAGAGAGAGAGAGAGAGAGAGAGAGAGAGAAAATATTCACTCCTTGTTCCCATAGAATCTGAGACTGAATTAATGTTCAGTTCATGTTGAATTCACATTGAACGAAGTCTCATCTTTAATATTATTAACCTTTTTTTCTGGTGTTTCGTAAATTGTTTACAATTAAATTCTGTTCACTAATTGTGCCAATCAAAGGAGAGAAAAAGAGATCAAGTGTGAAAAGTGACTGTTTAATTGATTTTGTCTCTTTCATTAACAACAATTAACCTTTGACACCAACAATCAGTGCCAATTGAATTAAACAATTTTGTTTCTTGTAGTTGTTTTGATTAATTGTCTGGTTTACACTCAATTACTTACAATTGACTCTGTTAATTGCTTGTAAGCTCAACTATAATATAATCAATTTCCAAACAATTAACCAGAAAACTTGATCAAATTTATGTGATCACTTCAAGGTAAGTGTTAAGTAAATGGATAACATTTGAAAAACAATCAACAATTAACACCAAAGATCAACAATCACCAACCTCTAATCTAAAGGTAAATTAAAGTTACTCTTTTGATTGTTTGATTAATTGCTCATTTTCCCAACCTGATTCCAAGTTCAACAATCATATTATAAATACTATTATATAATAATCTCATATTCCATGCAAAGATCATACTCATGATATCAGGAATAAGTTCAATATTGAATGTGAATCTATCATCTGAAAATTCATATAAATAAATTTTCCAATAAAAAGCCAAATTCTGATAAAAAAAATTCCCAACGAAATTCAAGCCTCTCACCATTTGCATCATGAAGAATGTCAATATATTATATGAACAGAACTATTTCCCTTATTCAATAATTCAATGTTCATCTCTATTGTCATCCAAATGTTCAATAAAATATCTTAATAGTTAATCCAATGGAATGAAAAAGAGAGAGAGAGAATTGAGAAAAAAGAGAATAAAATCAGATTAAGATTGCTGATCATCTTCTTCGTTCCCACCTCACCCATTTCTCCCTCCATGAAGTTCATTCGAGATGAAAAAACCCCGAGCAACATGAACTTTACTTAGAATATAATATCAAATCGAAAGAGAAAAAGTTTCTTACGAACAATTGATTTGATAAGTTACTTTTTTTTCTTTTTTTCGAATACGATTTCAGGATAGATTTCATTTCTCTCTCACGATAAATAATAATACTACAATGGAGAAGTTAATACTTTCCAAAGAAATGGCAATTTACCAGAGAAAAGAAAATCATACAATTCGAGAAAAAAAAAGTTCCAATCCTTTCATTTCGAAAGTAGAAAATAAAATGTTCTCATAAATAATCACAAGATAAAAACAATCATCAAACTTATCACAATCAGTTGATTAACCATAATCGATAATATCAACAATGGATAAATGAACATTTTCCAATCGATAATCAAATCTAATCACTTGGAGAAATGATAATAACATGACAACAGATTGAAATGTTTAATGATAGTAATTAAAAGTAATCACCTGAAACTATTAAAAAAGTTTGCTGAACAAAAAAATTATTATTCAGATAATTACAAGTTATCATGAACAAGAATCATCATCTCCATGAAAATGGGTTCAGTTAATTGTTACTAATATTCAGTGAAAGGTAATAAATGTAATCCCTTTGGATAGGAAGTTGATGATGAGTGTTGATGTAGGAAAATAAGAATTAGATTAAATTAACTAATAATAATTGAATTGAATTGATTAGGATTGAAATCGGTTCACCAAGGGAATGACAGGTAAAAATAACTATCAAGGTAAAGAGATAAGTTTACAAAAAGATAACGGTAAAAGCTTTTCAGTATCAGGGTAAATTCATTTACTGAACGGAATGAGAATCATGAAGATGCTGAAAGAAAATGAAAGTAAATAAGTTTTTTTTCATCTTTTTTTTGTTCGTCTTATTTTTTTTTTGCTTCAGCATTAGAAATTGAATGTCACCATGATTATCGGAGCCAGAGGAATCATTATCATGAAGGATATGATGATGATAATGATGATGATGATCAGTAATTTAATCTCTCGCTCTCATCTTAAGGTTACGACTTTTTTTTTACTTCATCTTTGGAAAGTTAATTAACAATTAACTTGGAGTTTCATGATTCTGAGATTACATGAGGTTTTTCATTCTTATATACGATCATGATAATGATGAATATGTAAAGCTCCGTATTTGTGTTTTTATCAAATGGAGATGCTCCAAAAATTGGATTCTTTGGTGTTCATTATATTACAATGGTGAAAGTTTCAGTTTCATGATGACACTTTTTGCCATTCAGTTCATTTATATGTCATGAACTTTTCAGGGACAAGAAGTACATTATTTTTACTTACCTGGTCTCGAGACTGAACAAAAAATGTTCAAGTAATTTTGTTTTTCTTTCATCACTTGAACTTTGTTTTTCAGTTCAGTCGATGAAGTGACAACCATGGTGATGCTCATGATATTATTTCAATGACAACATGGAGTAAAATAAATTGCTTGTTTTAGTAATTGTATCAGATGATGTTGCTGATAAAATATTAAGATGAGATGATAAACATGATGAAATTTGAATCCTTTTCTTCAGTCTCTTATAATAAGCACATCGGTGGATTTTTTTTTCGTACGAAAAAAAAAGGTTCAGGATAACTCATGATTTCGAGATATTATTCCGGGAATCAACTGAAATCTTTTGAGCTTGAAAGTGTTAACCTAATATTAATCATCTTCTCGAACTAATTACTTCACAATAATCAGCTATTGAAATAGTGATTAGCTGATAAAGTTAAGAAAAAACAGAAATTCATGAGAAAATCTCAATTTCTACCCATCTTCATGATGATTTATTTGCCAATTATCTCTTAATTAGATTTGTTATATTGTACATGATATGCTTTTAATATAATTTGCAATTAAATTTAATTTACATATTTAATTTCACAAGGGAGAGTCAAGAGAAAGTGAGAGATTTCAGTTCAATAGTTCAGGTTAGAATTCAGGAAAAGAAGATTCAAGTTCAGGATGAACTTTTTAATTCTTCCCATTCACCATGATAATTGATGATAATAGTTGTTCATTTCAGTTCAGGTGAATTGTTTTCTCTCTCTCTCTCTTTTATGATGATTATCCTCATGATCATTTGTTGATCAGAAGTTTTATTTTATCGTTGGAATTCAAGTTAAATTATCATCAATTGAATTGGAGGTTCACCCTGACGTTTAGATTCTGTTAGGAGATGAAGTTTATTTCTGTTTTCATTTCCATTCTTTGTTTACAAACAATTGATCAGATAAGTTTTTCTTTCAGTTGAAAAACTTCAAGAATAAGATGATTATCAGGGAAGATAAGAGATGATGGAAAAAGAAAAAAAAAGTTCTGAAAATATTTCGCTCACATCGAAAACTAAAAGTTTTCAGTCCATCTCATGAAAAATTATTATCTCATCATCGACTTGGTGATAAGTTTATTGTCACCGAGAAAAGTTTCAAGTTCAATGGAAGAATATTTTAGTTAATAGAACAGAGGAAAAAGAAGAAGAAAAGTTCAATCTTAGCATTCGAAAATAATCAGAAAAAAAGAAAGAAAAAAAATGAGTTATCATGATAATCATCATGTCATTAGTTCCTGTTTGCAAAATTGTTCCTAAAACAATCATTAAATAACACGCAACAATGAATCAATTGTTTCTCAGTCAGTTTTGTTCCTTGTATCACCATGTAAGCTAATCTCATGGGGAGTAAATGAGAAGAAGGTGAAGAAACATGATGATTATGATGACAGATAAAATGATCAGGATGATAAAAGAAAACTCCAAAGCATACCAATCATACTCGTCATGTTAATTCTGATGATGATTAGCCAACATTTTTACTTCCATATAACCCAATGAACTTTTTCTGCTGAACATCACTTCCTGTATTCCCAATGGTCAGTGGTCAGGAGAGGAGACATACACACGTACATTTAATAATAATTATTACCTGGGCACTTTAATCCTTGACCAGTGAAATTATGTCATCTAGTTAGTAATTTATGTTAGGGTGGAGCTGAAAATGGAAATAGCATCATGGTTATCATGACAATGGCCAGAGAGAGAGAGAGAGAGAGAGAGAGAGAGAGAGAGAGAGAGAGATGATAATGATGGACGACAATTAATTCTGAACTTACTCAAGATGAGAACCGTTTTCCCCTCGGTGACAAGGTGAATGATATTTTTCAGCATTCACATGAAATCAGAATTTGAAATGGTTCAAATTTTTTCCCAAATTCCCAATTTACTTCAAGGGTTACAGTTAAATACTACTCAAAAAGTATAACTCATAACAAGATAATTTTTCAATTCTGTCAATGAATTTGAGTTAAAAATTCTGGTTGCTAGGCAACCAGAATTCAAGCTTAAGTGTTTATTAAATGAGATGATAGTTTTGGTTTTCTTCATGAATGATTATTTTCATCTGAATATTAATCAAAATCAAACAAGAAGCAGCTTAATTGTTTTCTCTTTCTTGGTTTCTTAATTGTTGACTTTTAATTACTCAACAATTAGTGTGGTTTACAAAATGTTATTAAGTTTACTTAGTTTCGTTTGTTTTATTAATTTAAAAAAAAAAGTTTGATTCATTATCTCAATTGAACTGATTCTTAATTTGATTAATCTGTTGATTTGTTGGTTAAATCAACAAAAACATTATTATATATCACAGAACCTTATCAACTAATATCACAATTAAATTAACTCAAATTAAACTTCAATTATCTTACAACCAAACAGTTAACCAGAAGATGTTAATCAGTTAATTGTTTACCCAAGCAAACCAGTAAACTCATTTGCTTCACTAAATTGATTAATTAATTTTAATCATATGGGTTAATCCTAATCAACCATCCAGCACAGTTTAGATTACAATTTAAATTACAATTAAAAGGTTCACCTTTATCATAACTAAATTGTTACATACACAAGATTGAAAACAATTAACATTTACAAAGATAAACCAACAACAATTTAGCAACTATTGCTACAATCAACAAGTATCTATTGATAAAAGTACTCAATTGTAACCAGAAATTTGATAACAATTTAATCAACCCAAATTCAATCGCAAGGAAAATCAGATGATTAAATCCTATTAATCATGTCTACCATTAAATTGTTCAAACAATTAACTTTTCAAATGAATTAAGATCAACCTTGTAAACAGGAAAAAGAGTCAAAGTAAAATGAAAACAAATCATGATGAAAATCACTGAATTAAATGTAACTTTTTGATTGTTGTTCAAATTGAAAGAGAGTAAAAATAATAAACATGATAATTCAACCTCAAGTTTCATGATCATTTACATGAAATAATAGATTAGGTTAACAATTAGAGTGAAAAGTTTGACGATTTGTTATCTTGTAATTTCACTGAATCGATAGAGACTCGGAATTGAGTGGATAAAGTTTCAGAATAAAAAACAATAAGAAAAAAAAACCTCGAATTCAACTTTAAACTGAACTAAGCTCTGAACTTTTATTGTTTGTTCA